CTCGGAATTAGTAAATTAAGTAAACTCAGTAATTGAGAGATAGGTTGGTATTCACTCAAGATTCTTAAAGGAGCAGAAGCTATAGTCGGAGAGTAGTTCGTATTATAAAAGCCATAAGGACGACTTTTATTGAATTGCTGTGCTTTCTATGGTTATGTAAAACTATTCTGCGAAACTGCAAGCGAAACAACAAAAATATTTTCAGACTTTGTTTTAATATTTTCCTTTATTACAATATTTTTTTATGTCTGCATTTATAAATAATAAAGCATAATGCACATGTTTGTCTGTCTGCATGTATGTATGTATTAATTTATGTATGTGTAACCGGTATTTAAATTTATTCAACAATGTATCATATGTATGTATATTTATGTATGTAATTACGTACATCATTACCTTTTAAATATGTAAATATGAAAACGTTTTCTTTAGAACTAAACAACGCTAATATAAACTTTTTTTTTTAACTATTGCTAGTACTATAGTATTAATCTTCTTGTAATAACATTTCATAAAAATCTAGTACAAACTTTTGATATACATATAATGTTTTACTATTGTTTTTGTTTTATTATAAATGTATACGCTTTTGATAAATCTTAAAATGGATATGAACGAGAAGACTGTTTTGGATCTGAAGTAACTAACCCTTTCGTACACATTTATTTTTTAATTTCTTTTCTTTTTAGCTAAAGAATTCAATATTAATTCTCAGTTATTTGTTTTGTTTCTAAGTGTGTCTTTGATTTTTCGAGTGCAATATTGGTTGAAAAGTATCTTAATGTTTTACTACGTTTGTGCCACTGTACAATTGGTGTAAACATTGATAGTGGTGGTTTTCGGATTTTACTACATAATTGAAATTGTGGTTTTTCTATTTCATTCAATTCTGCTTTGGTGGCTCTGAAAATTTCAATTATTGTCCATTTTAATTAGATGAGTTGTGTTTTTGAATGGCGAAAAAAATACATACAAAAAAAAATCCAAAACAAAAATACAAAACGATTATAATAAACTAAAATCCAACAAATTTTTGTAAGAAAATTAAAGTGATTTCAACTAATATTTAGTTAACTATTTGTGATAATTCTAAGTATTCATAGACAAATATTTTAATTTTTTTTTTCTCTTTAAGATTATATATGAATTTCGCAAACAAATTTTTTTTCTTCTAGCTTAGTTTATCACAATTTTCGAGAAATATGATTATGCAAAATGATTTGAAACTTGGCTTTCTTTTTATGTTTATATGTCCAATTATGTCGTATGTATGTATGTATTGAAGAGTATTTGAGAAGGAATATTTATTATTTGAAGTGTTGATAGTATTTTTATATGTATGTATGTATATATGTACGCGTATATAATTGGGTTTGTAAAATGTTTTATAATTGTTGAACGCAAATTGGTTTGTTATTTTAGAATTTCTATCGACTGATTGTGCAAATAAACTGTTTATCCATTAGGTACTAACTTCATTTGCTCAAGATGTCAATTAAAAATTTTCAAATATCAGATTTTTTCATTATTAACAATTTCATGACTGGATCCATTTCAAATCATGCAGGCAGTCCAATGGTATATTGAGAATGGACTTCAGAATAAAATATGTATGTTTTTCTGCTTGAAAATAAAGAACATATTTTTTTTTAATTTTCATAGAATTACCTCCTCTTAAATACTAAAATTTTTTAAATTTCTAGTTGTTCCTTAAGTAAGTTTTTTCTTTAAGTAAATAAATAAATATCTTCAAAATAAAAGGATTTTGATAAATAGCAATAATACTTAACTTTTTTGAAGAAACAAGCAAAACTTTAAACAGAAAAAATTACAATAATTTGTTTTCTCCTAAGAAACGAAAAAATACCAAACGTAAGTAGTAGGTACAAGGTGTCTAATAGGTATAGGTGTCTAATAAACCTTGTAAATTTGGAAAAAGGTGGCCTTTTTGAGTTTTTTTTTGTATTTTTTTCATAAAATCGTATTATTGTTATCATTTATCAACATTTTACATTTAAAAAAAATTTGTTTCTTTATAAAATTTAAAAAAATTCATTGTTAATTTATTTTTCAAGCAGAAAAACATTTTTTACTCTGAAGTCAATTCTCGATACACCATCGGACTGCCTGCATGATTTTAAATGGATCCAGTCTCATGTGGTACATACACCCAATGCCTACTGATTTATTTAAGATTTCTTCCGTTGCTTTAAAAGTGTCAAAATGTTTTTTTTTGCTTTCGCATTCCTCTAGTAGAACGTAGACGTTATTTTGTTTTATACGAATTTTGACTTTTTTCGCCCTACTACATTTCTTGAATATAACAAGTTTTTCAATCACAAAAAAAAAACATTATTTTGGTTTAACCCCATTTTAAGTTTTTGAACATATCTAGTATGCAGTTTTAGTTTGATTAGTTGCATTTGCTTGATTGCCAACAGTTATGTGTTTTGTGTGCTTTTAACTATTTATTTTTTAATCAACAATTTATATACATAAAAGTTTTAGATTCAGTAGATATATTTAACTCGCCTCAGTAATTGCTTTATGAGTATAACAATAACACTGCACGACAAGACATGTTTTGGTTAGTGGAAGTGAAATATGGTGAACTATAAGTTTATGGCCTTGTTCATAAAAAATAAAATATATTTAAAAAGTTTTACATTTTCACACCGTCTTTCGATGCATAAAGCACTTTAAATATTTTTTTTTGATGAATTTGGCTGTTCGACTTTAGACTTTTGAAAATTTGCTTGACGAAAAATGATCAAACTTAAAAAGAACTATCTCGACAGTCACATTCCAGGAATTTTCACACGGCGGTTGTATATCTGAGACACTGCTTACATATAGGGATGCGTAATGATGAGAAATCATTGATCGATGTTTACATCGGAGAGAGGGCATCCCTACTACTAGGACGATTCACAGGGACAACGTTTTACGAAGTCTTTAGAATTGTCGAGAGATCACTCTACTTTAGCGGCTTTTCTTGGTCTGGTGGACAACCAATATAATCATGTAAAACTAGGCAGAAAAGAACTTCGACTGAGACCGGAATTCATACCTACCTGGACATATAATCTATACACCGATGGCTCCAAAATAAAACGCAGAACTAGAGCAGGTGTTTTCTCCTAGGACTAAACAAATTTATCTATCTGACTGACTTCGCAACCTTTTTTCCAGGCTAAGATTTTTAATAGTTGAAGGTTTTCAGACGACTAGCGTGCTTATTTGCACTGCTCACTAAAATGTTAGCCAGTTCTTTGCAAAATAATCAATTTTGCCGTCTGTCTAAGACTATCGACAGACATTCAGCCGTGCCTAGACCAACGTTCAGACCTGGAAGATGTGCTTTTTAAACTGGTCCATACTATTAGAGGTAGCGGGATTGTGAGAGTGTGTAGTAGAGGCCTGACGGGGCAAATCACGCTCTAGGTTTACACAAGTTGGGCTTCATATGCATAAGTTCCTCTCATTAAAAAAAAATACATCATAACTCGAAACTATGCAAAAATCTTGTAGCAATTTTAAAACTTTATTTGTGGGAGTCAGAGAGTTGCAGAATCTCTGCCACCTTGAAAACTTGGGCGGCCAGCTTTTCTACTTCCTTAGAAAATAACCTTAACTGAATTATGCTCCAACGCCATTATTTACATATACGCTCTAGTCAAAAGAAGGATGAGGTTCCATCTCATAAAAAAAAAAAAATTTTACTTTTTTTGGGGAAAACTTCTATGTAATCGTTTTCATAAAACATTATTTACTCTTCTATTAAATTTTGCTTTTTTGTGGATCAAAAAAATTGTCAGCATTTTGTAATTTGACTGTACTTACAGTTTTTTTTGTTTTATTTCACTTCCCCCACCCGACAAATGAGGTCATGAAAGCAGAAGTGGCCTAACCCAACCTTATTCCTTAACTTTCAGATACACAGCTGCTTAGCGTACCATGAAATTAAGGAATAAGCGACCTTTATTTTAAAATTCATCAAATTTGAAACTAGTTTATGAAGTTAAGTAAAAAACAAAAAATTGTGGCTTAGGCCACTTTTGCTCTCACGACCTCGAATATGCTCTGATAAATATCACTATTTCGTGTCGCACAGTGTAATAAATATATGTATTCATGTATCGTTTGATAATATTACATACATACATAACTGCTTTTGTTAGGTATTTAGCTCCAACTACATATAGTATATATTTTATATTTTTATTACATTAGTAACTATTTTTGTGATATATAATATACTATCTGCTTAAATATTCATTTATTAGCCACAAACCCGAGTGCATATGCTACGAATATATTTACTACATACATATGTGTGTATGTATTTGTAAATTTATATATGTATGTATATAAATATAAATACAATGTTAAATATGCAATTTGTTTTTTTTTCTGTTTTCTTAATTTCGTTCACTATTCGAAGGTATAAGTTGCGCTTTTGTGGACTAGGTATGAGAGTTAGTAGTAAATTTGAGAATAGTGAGGTTGAGTGCTGATTCTATATAGTAGGAATATTTCGTATATATGTATGTGCGGAAAACCACGTGCGTGTTAAGTTTATAGATTGCATATAAGTTAGTGAGTGAGTGCGAGACAGAGGAAGCGAGGATTTGGTTTGAATGGGTTAGTCTTTAGGTTTAAAGTGGACACTATAAAAGTATAACAAAGTGCTTAATGCAATACTGAAGTAGTACAAGTCTTATGTTGGGTTACAACACTCCTAAAATTACATAAATATGTATGTATGCATCTAAGAGTCTGCGGTTAAAAATCCAGTTTGCTTGGAGTATATTTGGGCGCTAAATAAATAGGAAAGATTGAGTATATTTGATTGGTCTGCTTTTCTTTTTCGATCCACTCTTTAATTGAGTGGCGCCGAAAAAAACTTTGATCGGCAATAAAATGTAGGGATTCTTACAACCAGCGTTATTCATTTGTAATAAATAAATAATCTTACTAGCTCACAATAACAACATTTAAATAATACTGTTACGCTTGGCACGTAAGGCGGTGCTCTGCATAGCGGCTACAACTGCCTCAGCGCCACCGGTAAATATCGGCTGATAGGAGGCGCGTCGCAGCACATGCCACATTGCCACCGGTTTGCGTAGCGAGGAGAGCATTTGATGCCAATGGCGCAATCCCTTGCCCGTGGCACAGGCACCGGCTATCACATGTCCAATTGGCGCAATACGCGGTGCGCCATCCTCAGCATCGGTTACACCAAAAACGGTGAGACGCAGCTGTACGGTGGTAAGGCTTGGCGGTGGCACACTGAAAATCATCGATTCATTAAAGATGGGGCAGCGATCGCGACGTTTCAGTGAGGTGCGTTTCTTAAGCACTTTCTTCTCGTTGTTCATCAAGTAGACCTAAGAGCATTAAAAAAAATAAAAATTGGAATTAATTCTCAAGCACGTAGTTGCTGCATTTGCATATGTACGTCATTCACATTGCAAACTTACCTTCACGAAAACGCTTTGTACCTCCTGTGGTGCGCCGTTTTTACCACTTTCTTTTATTTCCATTTTTAAATTTCGCGCTTTCACTATAACAATTGTAAGGCGTTCGGCTGTGGGCAAATAGCTTAGAGAGAACATTAATTCGCCCCACTGTGCATTACATTTGCGTGAATCGGTTAGTGGTATCCATGTGGTGACAGAGCGCGGCATTTCACCGATTTCCATTTCTGCTTCACCGATCAACGTGTGCGCATCACCATTGTGATATAAATGGAACCAAAGCGAGTGTCGTCCATGCTGTTTTTTTAGCCAAAAGTTGAAGGTTTCATTATAGCTAGGCGTGACAGAATCTTTGAATACCTAAAATGCATAATTAGAGAAAAAAATGAATTTAAGTAAGGTAAAAATACTTGATTAAAAATTCAGAATGTAAATAGTTTTGAGCTATTTTTGCAGATTTTTTTTCGCATTTCGGAAATTTTCTTTAATTTTAGAGTTCTTTTCCAGCCATTTCTGGACTTTACAACACTTGTATGGATTATTTAGGAAATTGTTGTTTCTAATCTTTAGTGGAAACCAAATTGACTCGAAATTTTTTTGAGTAGCAAATGTTCGGAATAATTTTTTGTTTATAAGAAATTTAATAAAAAAAAGAGGGTAAACGGTTATGGCATTTTTTTGAGTTTCAATTTTTTTTTGGGAAAATTTTCGAAATTTTTATAGTTTTTTTTGCGTGGCTTTTCGGGATCATTTAGAATTTGAAATTTTTTTCACTTTTTTAGGCCTTTATCTCATTTTGAGTTTTTCGCGGGAGCTTCCAGGGCATTCCAATAATTTTCATATTTTATTTAGGAATTTTCAAGTTCGAATTGCACTTAAGTCTTAGCTCCACACATTGTAACACAATTCGTTTTTATATTTTTGCTTTCGCTTAGTTTATAATAAGCAATAAAAGCGCCCAAAAGTATGCTACATTATCACTAGGTTTCTTGTGATTACATTTGCCAGGCGACGGCGAGCGCTCCCTGTGATGTCGGCAACATTTGGTGTCAACAAGGCGGGTCTACGGAAAACACAGCAGGTGGAACAATGGATTTATTAACAAATCTTTTTAGTACTCATTCCTTGGGTAAACAATACGTTGAGTAAGAGAAGCATCAGTGACTCATTGGAAATCGTAAAAATAAGGAAAACCTCTACACAAGGAACTACTGAGGAAGGTGATGTGACGGTGTATCTCCTCTTCTTGACGCTACATCTCGCTCGAAAGCCACTAGTTGTTGTACATGCGGAGAACTTGGTCATTCTGGTTGTAGGGAAGTTCATCTCGGCGGTGAGTGGGATAGTAAAATAACGAACCGAAAAGGTCGCTATGCTAAACAAGACATATATACATTAGATGCCTTATTTTCTCCATACATTTTGCTAAAGTATTTCAGATCCTCCCTCCGGCAGCAGAATATGAAAATAGGACGCTAAAGACCTAACAAAATGAAAAAACAATTTCATTATTGCAAAAACTGAANACCGCGATTTATAAGACTGTTTTGCTATAACTTTAGATCCTTATATGAAAACACATTAATTTTACACAAGAAAGAAAAAAAAATATCCAACCTCAGGAAGAATAAGCCGCTAAAGCGAATGGC